AAATCTTACTTCTTAAATTCCCGCCATACATGCGCTGAAGTGTTAAATAGGTATAAACTGATCCAGGTAGAACGGACTGCCTGAAAAATCACGTTATAAGAAACATAACGTTAGCTTCTTGTCGTACTTATGTGCCAAAAATGTCACGTAACAACTTAGTTACCCGAGATAATAATTCGTTAAATACCTATCATCGCACCCAGGGCCGCATTTGTCACGCTCGATGCCTCCAGTGGTGAGGGGAGCAGATGTCAGGATGAGAGACTCGTGATTCATTATGAGCCGTAAGGTCTAATTGATTAAATTAGGGGAATTAAATTGTGCGGAATAATACAATTTTCTCTTCTGTGGGTATGGATTCCTTCTAAGCCTCCATTTTCTATTGAAATGTGGGTAGCTCTCATCTTCTGTGTCACAAGACAATTCCTTTCCATGCATCCGTGGCTGAACACGATGACTCGATATAAATTATAACAGCCTCATTTTGGGATTGTGTTACTACTTACTCGAGCTTTTCATTTAGAATTAAAAACAAGTCCTTTAGATCATTTTATTATGGAGCAAGGGTGTGGATTGGCTGCACCTGGTAAAAGCACTTTCATTACATCATAATAGTCATATTATTTGTTATATAGTAGTGTTGAAAGTATTAAAATTATACCATAGTCATGGTATTATATTATGTACGCGATTTTAGTTCCCATTTTGCTTTGCAATGTTTTCAGATAGCAAAGCAAAGCTAAACCATTTATTTTACTCTCTTAAAGTGCAATGCACTAGTTCTCACAGTCGCACAAGTTCACACAGTCGCACTAGTTCTCACAGTCGCACTAGTTATCACAGTCACACTAGTTCTCAAAGTTGCACTAGTTCTCACAGTCGCACTAGTTCTCACAGTCGCACTAGTTCTCACAGTCGCACTAGTTCTCACAGTCGCACTAGTTCTCACAGTCGCACTAGTTATCACAGTCGCACTAGTTCTCAGTTCTCACAGTCGCACTAGTTTTCACAATCGCACTAGTTCTCACAGTCGCACTAGTTCTCACAGTCGCACTAGTTCTCACAGTCGCACTAGTTCTCACAGTCGCACTAGTTCTCACAGTCGCACTAGTTCTCACAGTCGCACTAGTTCTCACAGTCGCACTAGTTCTCACAGTCCCACTAGTTCTCACAGTCGCACTAGTTTTCACAGTCGCACTAGTTCTCACAGTCGCACAGTGGTGCTATACAGTGGTTGATCTTATTATCTTTCTTTTACTGATCCTTGGTGATATTATATATTTGCTTGTCTTATTTTACTAGAATTAAGTTAAAATCGACCAATAAGCTGAATAGAATTAATCTTTTGTTGGTCTTTTATTGGTCTTTTCACACATTTAATTAACGATGGATATCACCGCTATTATTTTAACAATAAATCTATTGAACTTATTTACTATTGAGCGATAAATTTTTGTTGTTTGACATATCGCCTGAGCATGGAACCAAACAATGAAGCGGGTAGTCAAATAGACACGCTCTATTGTAAATCTAGATCACGTGATACGGCCACTGCATTGTCTCCTTGTCATGGGACCACTTGTACGGGATTTTCTACAGTTTAACCCATAAAGAGGTGTATTGTTGTGGAGCCCGTGGTGTAATAATACTGACTGGTCCTCCTTCAGTATAATACTGACTGGTCCTCCTTCAGTATAATACTGACTAGTGCTCCTTCATAATATGGGCTGGGGATTGCCGAGCAGCAGCATTTGTTAAAGCCTTACCGCTGCTATGATGTGGTGGTATTTAGTGCAGGAGAGACACTTTATCACGCTGTTTATCACACACTTCAGAAGAAGTTCTGGTATTTCCGCGAACCTGCATACGCGCGGTTGTCACAGTATTGTCGGTACATTATAACATAGTGTGTGTGGGTTAGGTGCTGTCTAATTTCAGGGTTTTGTGGTTTCATATCATTATGTGCTGTCTAATTTTAGGGTTTTATTGTTCATCGTTTGGATCACCCGATTATATTTGCTATTTGGAGATGGCCTCCAGTTGATAATTAACTGGACTGAGGATGTTTTTAAAAATATTTTATTTTTATCATTCTGTTTATGGATGTTTATCATTCCAACTGGTTGGGTCGTCGTTAAGTATTGATTGAGATTTGAGGGGCGTATTATTAGATAACCACACCATCAAGTATTATAAATCTGACGATTATAATTATAAGTCGTTTGGTAACCAAATAAGGGTTGATGTATACGAGTGCCTTATCATTATGCTCATAGTCATAGGTCGCATCCAAATGCGTAGTTAGCACAGCCACCCGTTAGCACACCTTAACAGTATTGACGGTATCCAACGTAAACGCGTTCGAGCATGAGGCACGATAGTGACGTCATGAGGCACGATTTGAATATTATGGTGATCAGAGTGACGAAAATCTCGCTATGGAGTGAGCGCGTTAAAATAAGTAAACGTCGTTGACTTATACAGTTGTACGGTAATCGTTTGTGTCGTTTCCGGTTAGATGAGAGGTTTTATAACGCTATAGATTTCCTTAAATCTCCTTCAACCCTTATCTTCTGCTTTGCCGTATTTGTTTTTTAAGTTTTTAGTCCTTTTGAAGCAAAGTTTTTGTCGTGTCACATATTGTCTTCTTGCAACCTTAAAAATTAGTTTTATTCTTATTTATTCGTCTCTTAAATTAGTTAAGAGATTTTCAATTTATTCCAAAAAATTAAAATATCTTGATTTGCGATGGTCTGAGCACTTTCAAACCTTCATTCGCCTACCATCAGGTGACCATTACGGCACCTCCATAAAGTTCCTGAGTGCCTTCCTAATGCCAGAAAGTTTTTTTAAAAGTTTGTTCTCATGGCGCCTGGAGAAAACATAGTTTAGCTAGAATTGTGCCCATCTGCCTCTACAACACGTTTCTGCACGGCATTACACGTGGAAAATTAGTTCTCAGATGGTTCTATTATACTCATGTTTATTGTCCATAACTTCAACTATAATCTCACTTTAGAATGTGTTCCGATCAGATGTATAATATTAACACCCTAATTAAATTGCTTTTGTGTTGAACTATTCGCGTAAGATGGTCAGATGGTGGTACTATACCTGAACACAGTATTGGAGCGTTGTAAGTTAGCACGTATCTTGTGTGTGCTAATTTAACAGTGGCATTATTAATATTTAAAAAGGTGGATTTTTAGACATTATTCATATTGATTGTGCTACAAGTTAAACTAAATATAATCAACCAATAACTGGCGTATGAGGTCTCTGTTATAGTTTGTAGTTGTACACCAGTAATTCCCAGTCTGCTCCTTGAATTTAACTGATAGTTAAAACTGCATACGCTAGGAAGTCAGGAAGGTTGAAACGCTATTAGTTTGAAGAATGGAGATGTGATGACAAGGCACCTCACTTCAGTATGATTAATGAAGTTTACGTTTTGTATTTTTACACGTACTAAAGTAATTAACCTTCAGATGTCAATTAATTAATCTTACCGCTTCATCTATTGTGATTCTAAAATATACAGCGGTGCTTCGGGGAACCTAACAACCGTTCAGCTTGAATTATTTGTAGTTGTGCACATGCCAATGAGTTCAGTTTTAAACTTTAACCAGGTTGTCTTCGGTATTTCGTGCTCAATGAAGTATTGGTGATTCCGTGTTGTTGTTTTTAAATAATATATTGGATATTTTGTAATTTTCTTGCTTTATAGTTCCTTGCTTGTTAATCGTTCTTGGATAATCTTCGTTTGACTCATATTTTCGCTGGGTTCATTCATTCTTTTCAAGCGGACAATACTACCGATAAATGTTGCTTTCTAGTAATATTAGAAAACTTTGGAGTTAGGCCATTGTATGAGCAAACTTAAGATCTATGAAAGAATATAATGGAGATGATGTTGATAATATTGTTATCAACTGGAACACATCTTGTCCTAACCACTTTGCATCGTAGAAATATAGCACCACGGCCGGAGAAGATCTATTAATAGATAAGCTCTAGTCTCTAAAGCTAGTCTCATCTATTAATTGGAGTGACTGAACCATTCCACTTGTAGTTACAGACAGTATATCTAATCTCCTCTAAGAGAGAGCTCATACATGTTGCATGGCGAGACATCCAACCAACAAGGCTTTTTTCCTTCCACTCATGCGTCAGGATGTGTTGTTGTACAGCTTCTGCGGGAAATATTCCCTGTTGTTCTCAATTTGCAGGCACACACATCATACTATTCATCGTGAGACTTTTTCAATTCAACCTCTTCAAAATTCTCATCATAAAGCTTCTTTCTGGGACTTCCTCCTTATCTACTCCCCTTGCTTCTTTCAATTAGTAGTTCAGAAGCTCATTTGGCGAAATTATGCTTCTTTTTTCCCTGTAATGGATGTCCCTATCTCATGTTAAGCTGAATCCTAAAGATTTAATATCCATTTATGTTATAAATTATTGAACAACAGTGTCTCTGAGGAGATGGGCTCCCAATTAGCCCAATAAATATTTGTTGAAGTATTTTGATATTTCCGGCTTGCAGTCAGCCTGGTAATCTTCTGCTGTAATCGCATTTACTTCATGTAAACGTGCACAAATAAGTGTATCTAACAATTGTTTTATTTTCAAAGCACATCGCTTGCTTCTGTTAAAAATTTGTTCTCCATTCTCTTGTAATGTTTATTATATATCTATCGGTATACCACATTTATCATCAGCCAGCCATTTTAATAGTTTGTAGATATGAATTACTTAACTCCTTCAATGATTTTTATGGGCGCATTTATAAGAATTATTAAGAATTACTCCATATCATATTACATATCTTCATGTTTGATAAATCATTGTTGTATCTAATCATATTACTGAATTGATAATGCATCTCCCTCAAAACATATTAAATTGCTGATTGGTTTTGATATGATTCTCCAATACTCTGTGATGAATGACATAAAATTGAAAGTTTTATTCAACTCAATATTATTATTTCCATGACCAGGTCACCATGACATCCATGGGTCTGATAACAATGATGGTGGCTGTGTCCTTCGTCAACTCTGCAGCGCCACTCTTGGGTACCAGCGACAGCAGAATTCGCTCCAACACACTAGAGAAAGCACGGCCATCTCGTTACAGTAATCTGATATCTTCCAAGTACAGTAGCAACATCGGCCGCTCCTGGTCGGGTGACCTTGATAGCATGAAGCGGAGTTGGAGTGGAACCACTCCTCCTAAGCCTCCTCCTTCCAGGCATATGTTCGGGAGCTTAGATTTGTCATTACTGGAGGGGGAGGGGTCACAGATTAGCTTTAAATCAACAGGTTCGTTAATTAATGTGGTAGTGAAATTTGTTTTATGACGTTTTATTGAGTAAATTTGTTTAGCTATTTCTGATTACGATACATTTCTTTTTCATCTGAAGTGAACAGTGGTTTTTATTGCTTGTTGGGTTTTAAAACTTTTCTGAACTAACGGTGCCTTTCATTTCAGATGACGATTCGACAGGTATGTTGTTCTACTTGCTGTAGACGCTGATTACGTCTTCAAATAGATATTTGACTATCATACTGAAACGAGCAACTTACTGTACCTTTTTTGCTCAAATATACTTTATTCGTTCATAATAGAAAATATTGCCACCACAATTCAACCACAAAAATATTGCAACTACGAATCGGTTGTGTACTTATTTAACACTATTTAAAACTATTTTACATTGTTTGACAGTATTCAACACATGTTTAACACTGTTTAATAACTGTTAATAACAGGTATATCTTTATCATTTTACTTGGATTCTTTGGAAGCAACAGAACAGCCACAAAAGATAATGTCTGTTTACGGAGTTGATCTCCTTGCTCATAAGGAAACGATAGAAAAGAAAGGAGACAAGTGTTCCTTAACACTCGTGACTGGGCTAAAATTTAACATAACATGTAAGTTTACAAAATTAATATGCTGTGAGTACGAAATTAGAAAATTGACAGAAAAATGTATTTTCATGAAAGCATGATTCCCGACAATTGGGGAGATTCCTGAGGAGATTCCTGAGGATATTCCTGGGGAGATTCCTGGGGAGATTCCTGGGGAGATTCCTGGGGAGATTCCTGGGGAGATTCCTGGGGAGATTCCTGGGGAGATTCCTGGGGAGATTCCTGGGGAGATTCCTGGGGAGATTCCTGGGGAGATTCCTGGAGAGATTCCTGGGGAGATTCCTGGGGAGATTCCTGGGGAGATTCCTGGGGAGATTAGGAAGTTATATAAAATACACTACAACATAGTAGTTAACACACTAACTAATCCTCAGACACCCTGAAACGTTGCACTAGAAGTCACATCTACTTAGACCTGTACAATAAACTACAAATGAAGACATCTTCACTGTACGAGAATCTCAACATCGTTCACGGGGAATCGTGTAAGTAATATATAGTATATAGTATCCTCGTGTAAGTATCCTGAATGTATATTTATACATTTATAAATGAAAATCTACAGGGTGAAGAACTTATGAAGGAGCAAGTCTTTGCAATATTTCATTTTAGTTTTGCACTGTGATTCTACCACATAGAAGTTTAACTTTTTCGAATTTCTCACATATAACAGACCATGTGATTTACATATCCTGATATCCTTGATTCCTCAGCAAGAGGATGGTGTAAGCACAGCGGCACCAAACTAGAGGAGTCAAAAGAAAATCTCTACCGTAGAGAGAACTATTCTTATCCCAAAGAGGATGCAGCTGGAAATGACAATATTGAAAGTGTAAAGAATAAATGTCTCACCGAGTTCATTGAGGGTAATTTTATAATTTACTCCAATATCGATCGAAATAATTTGTTAGCAATTGCTCCGTTTATAAATGGATAGACCTAATCCAATAATTGATAGTTTAATTTATTATTTGTTAATCAGCAATGTTTTATCTTCATCAGGTGAATTATGCAGAGGGATAACTTTGATGAAAAACGGAGAATACTCACTCCGAGTGGGGGACTTTCCGATACTGTCATTTGACGACGATGCCAGCTATATCAACGGCCCTTGTTTAGGTAAAACATGTTTGAGTCTACGTATTTATCCACTTAACGTTTCGAACACTTACGTCGGGATGCAGTTCTTTAAATAATATATGTATTATGTATATAACTTTTTGTAAATTGGTCATTAGAACTACCGGCACCGTCCGGGCAACAAAACAAAACGTATCTTAAAACATTTTGGTTAACGATATTATAACTTAAGAACAAGATGAAAGTTTGCCGAAGTGTCCTCGGTATAAAAAGAACACATGATGTACACCGTATAGTGTATAATTTCTGAATCGATAGATGCATCCCAGTTTCCCTACGATATCTTACCATCGACATCTCACTATCTTCCTGCAATATTGTTTTATTAAATTTAGAACGGTCATCTTGGCTCAGTAACTTGTAATGTTTATTGAACCATGTTCTCTTAACCAATACCTTTTCTTCAGATACAGGACGGTCTCCAATACCACTTTTACCAGTTTTGGAGTTCCACAAGGTTGATGTGAGCGTCAAGATTTCTCATATCAATATAGATCCTTTGAAGGACTTTGCTGATCCTGAACATACGAATTTGGAAGTTCAACGACGTTGGAGAAGGTTTAGTGCTAAATTAGCTCTAAAAATTTCGAATGTTTAATTGCATATAATATAATATGACTTATACCATAATTACTGCCAATATTTAAATGTTACAAAAATGAAGTAAACATTTAAACCAAAATTTGTAAGGTACGAACTCGGAAACATAGAATCTGGGCAGCTAGTTAACTTCAAAGATATCACATACAATGTTGATTTTGACATGGAGAACTTACGTAATTTGGAGAAGACTAAGAGTATGTATATGCCGCTGAGTGTGTCTTATAGCAATAGCATGAGCCTGTCTGACTACTCCTCGTCAGGTCTGCGAGTTTTACTTATTTTCTTGTTTTCTCTTTTTGGCCTTGTTCAATTGATAGTTTGTCTCCCTCAGTCGGATATGTACTTGTGAAGACTCTATCGTTTTTCTAAAATATTTCCATGAAACAAATCTATTTATGTAACTCCATGGTTTTATTTTCTTAAAGCCCGGTGAAGCAAACGCACAATCATCATGCATGTTTGTGTTTACAGTTACGTTGATACTTTTTTATTCACGTTTCAGGCGTCAGAATTTATTGTTATACAGCCTTTAAACTTTTAAAGGGATTTAAGAGCCAAGATCTAAATCATATTTAGCAAACTAACAAACAAGTATGTCAGATAATATATTATTGAAACTTCTAACATTTTTCTTTCCAGATGCTATCCAACTGAATCGATACTCAAATGTTGCCATAAGCGAGGGAATGTTTATTCAAGAGGAATTTAATTCTAAAACCAACAGTAAAGGAAAATTCTTCAAATTGAGCGATGGCGATGCAGGCGGACCTGTGAATTTTGCGGCAAATTTTGTGTGGAACGATGGAATGATGATTCGTGGTAAGTGCAGAGTTTCTCGTTAGTTATCATATTCTCATATAATTGGTATGGAACGACGGAAAAAGTCAATGATTCATTGTTGAACTTGTTGAAACTTTGTTGAAAATTCTTTTCAGTCGAATTGAGATACTGCATCAACGATAAATCGGTGGAGGAATCAGCAACGAGTGAAATTGAACAATGTCTTAAGAATGAAAGTATGTGTAATATTTTATTCGATAACTAACATCAGCAACCAGCATTTAAAACTTATAACCTCGTTAATTATACGTCAATTATGCTATTATGATTAATCAATATGTACCACATATTTAGGAATATGTACCACATTACAAAAGGAATTGATTAAATGAAGTTGGAGGAGTCCTAACTCAGGTATGAGGTAACTCTCCTCACGTCTGAAAATGGCGTTTCTCTTGTATCAAATATATATTATGTATATTTTGACAAATATCTCAAAGATTGTTGCGGTCTTGACAACGATAAACTAGTGGTGGAAAGTTGCTCAACTGATAATGTTATCATGTGGAAAGGATTTTGCGGAGGTAATTATACACAACACAATCTTTTGATATACTACTGAAATGAAATTTTAAGACAAACATTTTCTTTGGATTCAAGTACAAAATCTTGATAACTGAGAATTTAAGGTTAAACTCTAATCTTGTCTTTAAAAAACTATCAAAAGATAGGTTTCGTTATGATCATGCTTACATAGTTATCAAAACATCTGCGATTACAGACGATAGTTCAGAAAAAGAGGAGAGGAGCCATTTCAACACTTTTCCGCCAACCAGAATGAACATAGAACCTTCTACCCAGAAAATTATGGCACATCAATTCAGTGAGTCATTTCTTATTGTCAATTATGACCGCTTTCAAAAGTGTTTATCAGCGCGTTCATACGATGCAGTTTATGTATCGCCTTGCAGTCATACAGTTATCTATAAGTATATAGATCGGAGATCCACAAAATGCAAACAAAATTGTACCAATACTATAGTTTTGCGACTGACCATTTCAATTCTTATGTTATAATTTTACAGGATCCTTGCCAAAGAAAGATAACGTGTTGAATTCAACCACGTAAGTATTGCAACTTGAGCCACAGTACATCTAGTGCTCACTAGGCTATGTGGATAGGGCTTTATAAGGGCATATGTTTTGATATAATGAATCAAATTAATTCACTAAGTTAAGTGTTTTACCGTTTATTTTTCCGTATGATTACAAATTGTCTTATGAGTAAGATTAACTCACTTTAAGAATATAAAACGTATTTACGATTTGTCATAATCTGTTTAATCATTCAGGGATACACAATGCAAATTTTCAAGTAACGGAGGATTTTCGAATAACATTACAGCTTTGCTTACATTCAAAACTTCTCAAGATGGCTTCCGATTGTTTATTCAGACACCGGTAATTTTAACGCTTCTGAAACTTGTTTAGAAATCAAATGTTCAAACTAACTGAATTCTTAAAGGGAAGTTTTTGGAAACCGTCATTTTTCATGTATTAATCTTATAATCCTAAATACCGAAATGAAATTTGCAGAAAGATACAATAGAAACGTTCGTGAGAGTCAATGAAAGTGAAAACCAATCAGTAATGCACATGATAACTCTGACAGATTCAGTTGAAAGTGTATATTTAAAAGAAGATAATGTCAATGACTGCAGCTTGATAACCTACACGGCCGGTCAGTTCATGAGGACTCAGCAAAAAAATTAAACTTTATTTTTATTTCTATTTTTTTCTAATATTGAGTTAATGCATCATTAACAACATTTATCGATATATAAAGCTCCTTGACACATGTTTTGGGACATCATCAATGATCTATTGGTCTATTTAACGTACAAATTATAGGCGTTTGATAACAGATTCTTCAGGTATCTGTGGACCTCTATTCACTCAAAACGACTATGGTTACTTTTTTCTGGACCGGGGAGAATATGGCGACAAAGTGAATGTCCCGTGTACTGTTAATAGTGATAAGAAATCTTCTTGGTAAGAAACCAAAACTTTTAAAATTTTGTATGACAAAAAACCATAACTTTTGTCATGAAACTTGTACTTGTACTTAAGCAATTAATTTATTAGCACTTGATCTACTTATGCACTTGCCCGTGTAAGATGTATTTTTTATAAACTGTTATTGCAAAAAATGCTGTAAAAACATGTAATAAATCACTGACAATGACCAACCCTTTATAGGGAATGCAACGCCGGAACTTGGAGACAGTCTGAATCAAGCGAACAGTGCCCCTTCTATCAGTGTTATAATAGGGAAGGAAGACTTCACGATTCTACCTACACAAACAATTCGAGGATTTTCCAGATCTTGAAGTAAATACACTTTCACTGATTTAAGTTTGTTTTCAAATAGTTAAATTTGCAATAAATTTTGATACATTTAAAAAAAACTGTCATCAATTTCCGCAATATTATAATTAAATGCTATCAAATGCTATACTCTTAAATGATGCAACTACCATCAATAGGGACGGTGCCGATATCGAAGGTAATTGCTGCGGAAACGGAAAATGGACGGCTCAGTGTTCTGAAGATTACTCTATCAACTACGATAACTGCTCAGCTTTACTACCATGTGATAGTACAGAGATATTAGAATTCGAAGTTAAAGAGCTTGAGGGAACTTCTATTGGATCTATTGAAGTTTCAGAGTTTTTGTCTGCCAAATCCCAGGTATGGACAGTATTTTGCATTGTGTTCCTCATTGATTATCATTTTATGTTTGTATTTGACTTTGTCAGCAAATTATATGGGCTTGGCCGGCGAAAGTTGAACCTTCAAAAGTTTCGACTTTACGAACAACAGATAAGCTGGAGATTTAACGATATTTTGTTGTTATGAACCTCTCTACTACACATTTACATCCATATCTCCTCAGATGGTTGTTAGTTGTGGATACGGTAATGGGTCTGTTACGATCAAATGTGATGGATGCACTGGTAAACGATCAGTTGAAGAGAATACGTGTACTCACCAGGTATGCTATCTCTATTAATTTATTATGAGATTTTTGAGAGGTTTGCTTTTTATCAGTCTCATGATAAGATAATGATTTTAGGGTTAATATCCGGTAGTGTAAATGTAGTGTAAATGTATTCAATTGTAGTTGTGAAATTGGTTTAAAAAGCCTTATTGAGCCTGATGGAAGTGTAGCACACTGAAAGCTCGCGTTTCCTCCTAAACAGTAGTTTCACTTGTCCTACCTAGTCTCTACTACCGTATATTATCCCTAAAATCATTATCAATTTATTAATTAATTATCAATTAATCAATATTATAATAGAAGTTAGATAATCAAATGAGCGGGATCTAAATATCTCATCTCTTTTTCTTACCTATTCACTAAACGGTTGAGATTATTTGGCCCTCTTGCCATTCATGATTCAAGTTATTAATTCATTTCAGATTTGTGTGACTGAGGGAAAGACCAAAACTTTGAACCTGACTTGGAATAAGGAAGATAATATTAAATACTTTCCTACTGATTACCCGTACACTTTAGAGGGACCCTTTGAAGTTGATGATAATGTTTCTGTTCCTTGTCAATATGGAGGCGAAGTTAAACTCAGTTGCTCTGGAAGTATTATAGTCCGTGATTATGGCTCATGTACTCCTGCCCCCAAGTGTAGCGCACAAGAAGTTCAACTTGGCCCTTTAAAAGGGAACGTCACCTTCGACCAAGTTTTTGCTGGAGAGACTCAAACCAGCCTTTGCCCTATTAGTGAAGACAACGAATCACATGCGACAGTTATTTGCAACTCTGATGGTGAATGGGGAGACATTGATCACAGTAGCTGTGGAACAGGACCCTGTAGCGAGACAACCTTTAGCAAGAATGGCGTTAGATTTGTTGTTAAAGAAACGGATTTAGATACAGTTTCAAGCTCCACAGAGTGTTACTTTGAATCATGCCTTGATGGTGAGAATTGTCCACTGCTGGATATGTGCTCTGATGGAACTTGTGGTTCTAAGCGTTGTTCGTCTTCGCTAGGGGGGTTAGTACTCATTTGAACATTGCTCAATAGAAGTTGATTTACTTGTTTGGTTGCTCAACAATTTACAAAAATCATTTTTTTATACCAAATAGCAGTCACAAATATTTTGTCATCAATAGTTGATAACCGATAATTTAACATGGCTCAGATATCTTTATTAACTAGATTCAGTTTTACAATCCTCATGAGGAATGTGTTCAGGTATAGTACAGACACAGACTACAGCACCTGCCGTTTCAACTGTACTTACGAAGAAAAAGGAATGACTGAAGCTAAAACGATTGAGCATGGAACCTTTGGCTCATTTAAATGCATAAGAAACAATGGGGCAATAGGGTTACGATATGTGGATTGTAAAAATGGAGAAGTAACGAAGAAGTCCTGCGGTTTGATGACATGTCCGGTAATTAAGGCTTTAAGGGTTTTGTTGTTTGATATATTTATAACTGGAAATTATGTATAGAAATATACTGAGTTGCATAATTATGAGTATGCAAAAATTATTCTAAATTTATTTTCTTTGTAGAGATTTGTATTATTTTTGTATAAAATCAGAATAAATTGATAACTTTTTTACTGATAAGTTTGTTTTGCTGATCCATGAATGACTAGATTACTAAATGTATAATTTCGCTTCAGTACACAGGTGGATCAGGGTGTGTGGAAACAGACCCAGAAATGTTAAAAGGAGCGAATCCCAGTGAACTTGCTGCCGATCTTGATAGCTTTCTTGACAATGTTGACTTATCATCTGCAAAAGCGAAATCAGATACTAATAATGTTGTTTCTGCTGTGATGACGAACTCACCTGATGGACCCAAGAGGTAAGACTGAAAGACGAATTTGATTATCGTTGTAATGGTTATCAGGTTTGAGAAAATATGTTGACTTATGGGATAAAAAGATTATTATTAAATTATTCTTAACAGTCAAGAGGAAAAAGCCAACATTGGGAAAGTTATTGACAAAGTCGCAATCAACTTGGCTAAATCAGGGGGAATGATCGAATCAGCAGGTGTTAAAATGTATGGAGTTACTGGGAGTGATTTACTGAAAGGAGGCAGTAACTTCCTTACAGACAATAAAGTAAGTTGCTTTTAAGTACCATCTACCCAACCGTCTTGAGGCAGTGACCGAAAATTTCATAGACATTTTGGTAGAGATTATTTGCATGAAACTTATTGCATTTGTTTTGACATTAAGCATGCAAAAGATATTTTTATTTTTTTCATCTGAGCTACTAATCTCATCCTATATTAGATCGAGGGGACTGGATTTAACGGGAATGTTGGGTTTTCCCTGTTTGATGATATGGAGCTGTTCACACCAAAGAATACAACGAAAGAGAAAATGGTCGGCACAGCTGTTAAAAGCATCACGACAGAGTTCAAAAGCGACAACATTAATGTCAATTTGAGTTTCCCTCTGAAAATTAAATGTAATACCAGTACAACACAATGTCGTTATTTGGACCCGTCAACGGGACAGTGGTTAACTGAGGGAGTTACAACAATTTGTGATGGAAGAAAGACGATTTGTCAGTCCACGCATCTCACCAGTTTTGCAGTTCTGGTAAGCTTCGTTATCTTTGGTAAAATGTTTATCAACAAATATCGTGGATTCATAGCGTCGATCCTTGATGAAACTTATTGATCGCAAATTATCCTATCAAATAAACTGCAACAAAACCCTATCAATGTTAAAGCAATATTGTAGATATTTGGGTTTTGTGTAAATTTATTTGTAATACATTGATGTCAAATTTATTTGAATTTTGAAATAAGATTTTTTGATTGACAGGTTAGCTTGGATCTTATTGAAGACCCAGCACAGAGTATAGCTACGAAAATAATGCTCACCATATCTGTTGCATGTCTATCTGCTACTGCTATCGCCTTTATTCCTTTCAGGTTAACTTTTTAACGTTTATTTTTTGAATAGCATACCTGATTCTAGTTATCTTTGAGAATTGAATTAATTCATTTTTTACAGTAGTACCAGACGTAACAAGTTAAATCCCATGGTAGTTATATGATATCCAGTGAAGTTAAATTATGAATGTTTCAGTGATGACTCTCTTTACACACTAACATGAAAACCATAATTTCAGAAAACTTAGAAATCGGGATATCATCCGAATTCACCTCTGCTTAATATTTTCATCTATCATTGCGAATCTGGCATTCCTGTCATTGGAGACCACTATTGGGAGCGTCACTGGATGTTACATTTCTACATTTGTCACCCACTTTGCGTGGCTGGTAAGAATCAATCACAATAGAAATTTGTTTAAAGGCATTTCTTCTCATGTCATTTCGATCATAGCAATTTTGAATGATATGGATAAATGCAGTTTTATCCAGTCTTCAAAAAATATATTTTTAAATGCTTAATTTAAATGCTTAATCGTTATATAATACAGACATCTTATTTTTGTATCCTAAATATCTATACCTTCCTGAATCACCTTTATATTAAATACAAATTATTTTGCAGTCAGTGTTTGGCTGGATGATGGCCGAAGGTGTGACCATGTATAGACAAACAGTTCAAGCTTTAAAATCATACGGCAAGAAGATAGATTACTACACAACTAAATGTGCTATCATTGTACATAGTAAGTTTCTTATTTTAAATAGATTTTTATTTCTTATTAACTGTTATTGAGATGGAACACATTACCACAACGTTCATCAACATCAACACAATTACTTCAATGACAACTACAACCCTATCTTCCTCAGCTGTTGCTCTAATTCCACCGATCATTGGCGTAGTCCTCCACTTCAAAATGCCAGACATCCAATTCCAATATATCCGAGGAGGGTTTGAGTTTGACAATGTCTGCTTCCTAGACACACCCAACACTCTTATGTACCTTTTCCTTGGACCGCTCTATGTGGTGGTGTGTTTTTCTCTATTCTTCTTCGTCAGGTAATTCAGTTAAACAACAATTTAAATTTTATGCCATTTATTACAGAATAAACAAGTTTACAATAAACTAATTTGATATTTAATGGAATCCTAATTCAATGTGTAGTATGGCTGTCACTCCTTGAATAGATTAGATATAGGTTGACGGGGCAAAGGAGTGTGCGTGCTGTTCGCTATTGCTCACACCAAACGGCAACCTAGTAAATTAGCAGGACACGAGAGACAATAGCAGTAATTATTGTAGCTTAATCCACAATGAAATACAAATGAGCTATATTGTTTAGCAATTACTAGCATAGGAAATCACAAGATCATAAACAATGCAACGTTTTAGACCATGCCATATATTATATACGTTTATTTTGTACGTGAGAAAAACAGACAAACAAAACTGATAAACTCATAATAGTGCAATAACTATAATTATAATCTCTACATTTTAGAGTGACACTAGTGGTGGTGAAGTCGAAGAGACAAAGCACCAGCAAGTCTCAAGATCAAACTAGCTTCTGGAAGAAACAAGCGAAAGCAGTTGGCTCGATAGCCACAGCGACGGGTATCGCCTGGGTGGTGGCACCCTTTGTTATCTTGGACACCACAGGTGGACACTACAGCACGATATTACAATGGGTCTTCAACATAGTTCTCGGGATGCAGGTGTGTATTTACTTATCTTCAGCTTCTTCAAATTATGTTAGACAAACCCTACGAAAAATTTGCGAATCAAAATTTGGCATATAATAGCTTATACGAATGCTATTTTTCTATAACGCATTGGCAAACACAGTTTTACTTGTTATACCTTTGACAGTTTACAATACCAGCTTCAGATAATGAACTTTTGAATTACCTTACCAAGCTACGCATTTCTAATACCCCCACACAAAAGCGAGCAAAATTAAATGTGCATTACTACTTACTAGTTTTTGTGCCCCAGGTGTTCCAACTGTGCCTAGCTTAAGCTAGATTGCCAAATTCCCAGTAATGCTTATTTACGTAACTAGTTAGCTAACTGTTATTTGATTTTTCTTCAGGGAGCAATCACCTTCCTTGTTCTTGTAGTTCTTTCTGATGAAGTTAAGAATTGCTGGCGGGCTGCATACAAGGGATCCCAGATGGAGAAGATGGGGGATGCCTTTGCTTCCATGGGACATGGGCTTGGGGAGCTTCATATGCGAAAAGTAAGTTGGTATTAGAGTTATATATAAAATGGCATTGATCGAGCAAGTCGAATCGTTTTAATTAAAAGCCGGGGCACTGATCTTTCGGTCAGCAATAAATATAACTGGAAGGGGCTTGATGAAACATATAAGTGATACGAAAGTTTATGGTAACAGGAGATTTCAAAAACATGTGTTAATCGTCTTTAGCTAAGAATGATGGGGTGAAGAGGTGATTACCTTATCATTGATAAGGTGTTTCTTCTTAATCGCTCACATGAAATGTCTCAGACAACGATACAATACCGAATCGATCCGCAAGAAATACTTGCTAAACTCAACTTTAGGTATTGTTGGTGTTGGTTTTATTGACGCTACACTGTGTCCTTATCTTAGCTTATTGTGTCCTTATCTTAGCTTATTCTCTTAATATTGTGTCCTTATCTTAGCTTGAAAGAGTTATTTATTCAGTTTGTTATTTTGTGAGGGGGCCTGGCCGTCGGCCTCCCATTATCTCTTCTACTTAGCGAAACAATGTTCCTGCTACATATGATCATATGACATTTTTCTTTCTGTCTGTATTGAAAATTGGATGGTTAGTAATAATGGTGGAACGTGCGAATACATGTGCAAAGATTATTAGAACGTCATCGTGATCGATTTTGTTTTTATCACGCTGTGTGGAGTGTTTTACATTTAAATCGGCTGTATTATCGGTTGGGGTGGATATATTTCGATGTGATAAAAACCGAAATCTCAGAATGATGCATTTTCCATCCACATTGAACTTTTGAATATCGATCTCACGTGTATTGCCATTCACACATATAATTTTATAAATAATTGGCCGCCTTAATCAAAATAACTTAAAGCCGATTGATTCCCAAAAATATTTAGAATATTCAACCAATAATTTTCCAGATCGATGTCATCATTGGCGACGACTTTAAAGTTAAACTTTATGAAACTGGTCAGAATAATTTTTACAAAATCCACAAAGCAAAACCTTGAAGGTAACACAATTTTCCTTGCTTTTTGATTTGACTCAGGGCAGATATATAATCACAGCATTTTTTTAGATTTAAAAAGCGAATTGAAATTTATATGGGACTTACATTTACAAAAGCTGAAAGAGTTAAGTTAGATACAAATGATCAAAGATTCTGATGAATGATCACCGTGTTTTTTTAGGAGAGGCTGATCACCGCGTTGAACACTTCGCAAATGCATTCCAGATTAGTGAGGCACAAAGACGTGCCAGAACATTATTATAGCATTGTCTAGACTTATAAACCTCAAGTTGGGTCTGGCATAAAACATTAGCCCAGCTACTGAAGAAGCTTTCAATACAAGTCATGACCATGAAATCACGAAAAAGTAATAAAAAGTATAAGTAGTCAAAATATTTTGGTTCCAGAGCTGCTCTTTTGTTAATCAAATTTGAATTCCAAAACGGAAAAATGCGTATTAAATTCAAGTGAATCATAATCATTTAACCTTATTTTCATATAATGCCAAAGCTGCCAAATTCATGAGACCATGTTTGCCTTTCACGCTTGTATGTATGATGTCTTTTCGGCTTGCCTCACAACTATTAAGCTGGCTACTTTGTATGTACTTGTATCGAATATACTTCGTTTTTTATTGTTTTTTAAAATTTATTAAATGTACATGTACAAAAAGTATATGGAATGTCCATTGTGATCCGTTACCTTTTTGTTTTAATTCGAAAGTAAAAAATGTATCGCATATATTACCATCTTGCTAGTGTTCATTTCCACAATAAAGACAGGTAATAGCTCCACGACAGCGACAGTCACAACCACAATGTCAAACTATAAGTGCATCTAGCAGCAATTCTGGTAACACTAACAGCGTTTCAACGGTGGTAAGTTTGTCAAAACTGGATGCGTGTGAGCATGGTTATGCCTATAAAGCTATAATATAAATTAAGTTTAAGAGCTTGTATGTCCATCTAAATGAATTCATAAACTTGGTCATTAGTCATGTGTGAAGCCAATGACGCAGTTCTAGAAATGAAAATCGTGTGTTCTAAAACCGTGGACTATTCCATCCAATCGTTTTCGTTTTTAGTTTAATGACTTTAAAATAGAGTGATGTTCAATTTCCAGAGATTAAAAGATTAAATAACTTGTATGGTTTTCCTGTGTTACTTCTTTCAAAAGCGTGTTCTTTTACATTAACGACGAATATAAATATAATCTCAAATGAGATAATCGTATTTCGAATTGTGCTGTATTTTAGGTGACCAGGATTTTAAGTTATTTATTTGCTGTTCCTAGTGATCGGTGTGTGAAAAAATAAAATAATTTCTTGCTATTTTCAACATTTAAATTTCATAACAAAATTAATTAATTAATTAAATAGAGAAAGTTTGAATATGAATATGAATAACTCGACAGTAGCTCTAAGTTTAAACTGAAGCAAAAGCATTATAATAAACTCCAACTTTTATCTATTATTATTAACTATTTCAGAAGAGCAAGAGGGCAAAGCACCATGACAACACCCGTTGTAACAGAAAGTCTCAAGAGCCCGGCACTACCATCTTCGAACATACTAAGTCATCCCACTTCTTGAGCATCATCGGACGATCTCATTTCCACAACATTTTCTCCAAAGCACAATCCCATGGTTCACTGGTGGACGAATCAACACATTCTAGTGGACACCACAGTAATCACCATAACCGAGCAAACACCCCAAACGATGTGTTCAGTCCAGTTGAGGAAGTCAGTGATATATTCAATCAAGGTAGTGACTCGTGGGTGAAATTTGTAGAGAAAGCGGAGGGAGGGATGGTTCCCTCGGAAGCAGGCATATCTATTGTAGTCCCGCGGAGGAGAACGGATATTGCTTCTGACTCTGGTTTCCATGGAGATGAAGACATGAGCACTAGTTGTTGAGTTTTCCCTTTTAGTTATTGTCAGTTTTGCAACCGTGCTGAATGTTTTGTGGATTAATTTTTTGATGAATTAACAATCGAGTGGTTAGTCAGCTTTTTTTGAGTGCTCTACTTTGAAGGCAAAGCTTATTTTGAATTAAAAAAAAAAAAACCTGATCAAGAGAAACGTGTAAGCGAACGAATTTTTCTTATTACGTGTGATTTTTGGCACTTTCAATCTTGATTTATTGATTTCCGTAAACATTTTTGATTTCTACTATTCTTATATACTATCTGATTTTGTTAATGATAGAATTTAAAATCAATTGCTGTTCAAACAAATTAAAGTACAGTCCAACTAAAAGTTGTATGTAATAAATCAAACTTTTAGTTGGACCGTACATCATGTGTGAAATGCAACTATCAGGTGTCCTTGATGATTAGCCCAACTAACAAACGAAAGTTTTATTTGGGCTGAACATCATTAAGTCTTAGAACTTATACATTGCTCCTTATGAATATCAGCTTTGCAATTGATTAATAGTATATAACACAATACAAGGGCAGGTCTCTCCCACAAGTTGGGATGGCCTGAGGTGCTTATACTCCTTTTCGGTAACCCTAACCACTTGTGCCGAGGTACTAACTAACAGTAGGGGGTTACTCCTACGAGCCAGAGTGGTAGCACCAGCCAAAGCTTAACCAAATCACAGCTTGGAACTGGCCGACTGCATTCGACCGGATTTTGAGAACCCGCCTTCCTGCTTGAGATGCATGCGTGTTTACCTAACCCCTACACCACCCGGCCGACTATTGATTAATATAATATAAAACGCTTAAAATTAGGTAAGTCATTCGTTTAAAAAATGTCGATAGAATAATTACTAGCATGTTGTAGAAAATATTAAGTGGTCTTAAAATCTTAAATCATCGAGAGACAATCAAAACAGCAATATGTTTTGCAGTAAATTAATCATAAATAAGCATTTGGTATCAATAAAACATAGAACATGATACAAACTATCAATACAACCAAACCGTATCTTATTGATGCTACATAACAGTTCAAGCGGATGGATTACTAAAGCTACATGTGTGAGCTGATTTGAATGGGTGCTTAATCACCATTAACCGTCTATAATGTCAAGGCTTCATTTTCATTACAAACTCCGCGGTGTCTTTATTGACTACAAGGCATAACCTGAAATGTGATCCATGATAAATCGCAGGTCAAATAAACCAAGAGTTGCTCCAAGAACTAGAGGAGGAAAATAAAGCTCTGCGATCTGAACTGAGATCCACCATAGCAAGCACCCAACAGCTTCTGAGTCTAGAAAATGAGATTCGGAGACTGAAATCAGAGAGCAGCAGGTATCAGGCTGAGGTTTTGAGACTGAAGGATGTGGATCTAAAGCTTAATCAGGTATGTTTAGTTTAGTGGACAATTGTTTTGTACAACCTCTGATTTTTCCACTGTTAATTATATTTGACACTCTTTTTGTGGTTCAATGTAACTTAGTTATCTGATCAGGTGGAACAGTTTTATCACGAGGAAAAGAAGAATTTCCGGTGCACAATCGAGGATACCCTCTTGACACTTGAAGACTTCAGAAAAGATGTAAGTAATAAACATGATTAAGGACATTTTTATATTGACTTAAACTTACTTGTTAAGCGCAACTATCGATTCAGATTTATTCCATGTATATATACTTTAAACTGCCTGTGTTTATACTTTAGTACTTTATATCATCGAAATCACTAAACATTTTCACTGTCTCTGCAGAAAGAGAATCTAGAACGCGAACTGTTGGAATTAGAAGAATTGCTGAAAGATGCAGAGCAGAAGAAAGGTTCTCTTCGGGAAGAGTTGGTGGAAAATAATACCCTTCTGAAAAACAATGTGGTGAGAAAACGTCGAAGTTTTTTCGACGTAATATTTGATAATTTTTAAAATAATTAGTTTCGTAAAATATTTAATATCTATTGGCCAATATTTTTGAATATTCGTCTGCACGACTATGGTAGAAACATTATTTGAACTTTGTTTAGTTTTATTGACAGTTTTATTTAAACAGGAAAAACTAAAGTTAGAGATTGAAACGAGACAGTCAGAAAATTCGATGCTTCAAACAAGAATATCTACTGTTGAAGAAAACTGCAGTTTCCTTGAAGGACAAGTTAGTTTAATTAGAACAGCTTTTCTGCACAATGTTTAATATGCCAGAGGTTTACTTCAAGTTGCCATTAAAAACCTGGTCTATCTGCACTTGGTATAAACTATAATCGTGATTTTCACTATGTTTAATTTAATTTCATCTTTTTATGCCATTAGGTACAAGCTCTGGATCGAGACAACCACGAAAAAGCACAAATTATCACCGCTGCAGAACAACATGCAAAGGATATGGAAAGAGAATTAGGTAACATACTCTTTATGTTCTGTTCTTTGCACTTAAATTAATCCATAAAGCAGGCTTCAAGTCACAGCCTGTTATTTTCAAATATATATCCAAACTCTGATTGAGCAATTGCTAAATTCGATATCTATATATTAATGGAACTTCTAACAGCTACATTGAGAAAAGAAAATGCAGCACTACACTCCGAGCAACACAAAATAGAGCCGTTAGAGCATGAGTTGGAAGAGCTTAAGTCTAATCTTGCTTCTTTAAAGGAAGAGAAACCAGCGCTTCAGTGCAAGGTATTTTTTGACAATTTTCCCAAACATGTGTATGCATTGAAATAACATAATTCGGACATTTACAGTAAATTTGTTCAAAACATTAAATTTCCTTTCCCAGCATCATCAAAAGGAAGAGTTAGTTCATAACAGATGATAAACAGTTAAACAAACTTTTTTAGTAAAACAAGACAATTGTTTGACAATTTTCTTCTCCAGGTAGACAAAGCGGAGGAAGAAAACAGTCAGCTTCACTCACGTCTCTCTGAACTGGTAAAGTCTCACACGCTGCTAGAGGAGAGTGTCCAGAACAAGGACAGAGTGGTGATCAGTATGCAGCAGGAGCTGGATAGTCTCAAGAAAATATCTGCTCTGGATGCTACCCATGTAAGTATTAATTAGAAATATTTACAATTTACCACACGTGTCATGTCAGATCACGAGGCAACTTGGTCGTTTAGCTCCGGACAGTGCAACGTCTATGCAACGTCCATGCAACAACAAAAGAACCGTCTATGCAACGTCTATGCAACGTACCTGCACAATGAACACTCTATGCACACTCCCTGCACGGTCAGTCTATGCAACGTCTATGCAACGTCTATGCAACGTCTATGCAACGTCCCTGCACAGTACCATATGAACACCGGCTACTAGCCGGCTAGTAGCCACTTTTGTAATAACAGCTCCTCAACTTCACATTACCAACCGGCTACTAACCGGCACTTGAAAAGTGGTCACTAGCCGGCTACTAACCGGCTACTAGCCGGCTAGTGACCACAAAGTGGCTACTAACCGGCTACTAAGCGGTCACTAGCCGGCTATTAGCCGAGCTCTAAAGCAGACCTACTAGTAGCCGGTTCCAAACCGGCTACTAGCCGGCACTTAGAAAGCGGTCACTAGCCGGCTACTAACCGGCTACTAACCGGCTAGTAACCACCAAGTGGCTACTAACCGGCTACTAACCGGTCACTAGCCGGCTCTTAAGCGGACCTACTAGCCGGCACTCGAAAAGCGGTCGCTAGCCGGCTACTAACCGGCTACTAACCGGTCACTAGCCGGCTCTTAAGCGGACCTACTAGTAGCCGGTTCCAAACCGGCTACTAGCCGGCACTTAGAAAGCGGTCACTAGCCGGCTACTAACCGGCTACTAACCGGCTAGTAACCACCAAGTGGCTACTAACCAGGTGTCCAACACGCACTGCTGCAATTACGAGACGTCAGACTTCCTAGTGTTTACACCTTCGCAAACGAGATCTGCAACCGTAATCTTGCCACTCTTAGGACCCTTTGTACCCAAGGCGTCGTCCTAGCGCCCAAAAACAATTACACTGCTCCTCCACCACGAAGAAATTGAATGTAATCAGTTTTCAGTATTTTTTTATTTTTCATAAAAATGTTGTAATCGATTTTGGAACTTACTTTCAAATAACGTGTTTCAAATAATTTGTTTCAAATAATTTGTTTATTTGGCAATAATGAATTATAGCCGGTCTGATTTAGAGTCGCCTAGAGCAGGTTAGTACTAGCCGGTTAGTAGCCGGTTAGTAGCCGGTTAGTAGCCACTTGGTGGGTACTAGCTGGTTAGTAGCCGGTTAGTAGCCCGCTACTAACCAGCTAGTACCCACCAGCCGGCTAGTGACCGCTTTTCAAGTGTCGGCTAGTAGCCGGTTTGGAACTAGAAGGTCCGCTTTAGAGCCGGCTAGTAGCCACTTGGTGGTTACTAGCCGGTTAGTAGCCGGTTAGTAGCCGGCTAGTGACCGCTTTTCAAGTGTCGGCTAGTAGCCGGTTTGGAACTAGAAGGTCCGCTTTAGAGCCGGCTAGTGACCGGTTAGTAGCCACTTGGTGGTTACTAGCCGGTTAGTAGCCGGTTAGCAGCCGGCTAGCGACCGCTTTTCGAGTGTCGGCTAGTAGGTCCGCTTAAGAGCCGGCTAGTGACCGGTTAGTAGCCGGTTAGTAGCCACTTGGTGGTTACTAGCCGGTTAGTAGCCGGTTAGTAGCCACTTGGTGGTTACTAGCCGGTTAGTAGCCGGTTAGTAGCCGGCTAGTGACCGCTTTCTAAGTGCCGGCTAGTAGCCGGTTTGGAACCGGCTACTAGTAGGTCTGCTTTAGAGCCGAATAGTGACCGGTTAGTAGCCGGTTAGTAGCCACTTGGTGGTTACTAGCCGGTTAGTAGCCGGTTAGTAGCCGGCTAGTGACCGCTTTTCAAGTGCCGGCTAGTAGCCGGTTTAGAACCGGCTACTAATAGGTCTGCTTTAGAGCTCGGCTAATAGCCGGCTAGTGACCGCTTAGTAGCCGGTTAGTAGCCACTTTGTGGTCACTAGCCGGCTAGTAGCCGGTTAGTAGCCGGCTAGTGACCACTTTTCAAGTGCCGGTTAGTAGCCGGTTGTTAATGTGAAGTTGAGGAGCTGTTATTACAAAAGTGGCTACTAGCCGGCTAGTAGCCGGCTAGTAGCCGGTGTTCATATGGTACTGTGCAGGGACGTTGCATAGACGTTGCATAGACGTTGCATAGACTGACCGTGCAGGGAGTGTGCATAGAGTGTTCATTGTGCAGGGACGTTGCATAGACGTTGCATAGACGGTTCTTTTGTTGTTGCACGGACGTTGCATAGACGTTGCATAGACTGTCCGGAGCTAAACGACCAACTTCCCGATCACGATCATGTATGTGATAATTTGTAAAACTACATTTTACTTATTCTTTATAATTTGTTTGATTTAACTTCTGAATCGATCAATTTATTTTGAGATCCTAAAGTTAATATAACATACCTAAACAGGCAAAAGAAAAAGAGGGCGAAGCCATGAAAGAATGTGAAGATTTGAAACAAAAGAACTGTCAGCTGTCAGAAAAATTAGAAAAACTGAAAAGTGAAATGGAATACATTGAACAGGCGTTCTTTAGAGGTGATGAGAATACAAATTAAATTAGATTAAATCAAATCAATTTAAATTAAATTAAATTAAACAGCACATTAATAACCACATGATGTCAAAAATATATAGCCCCGATTTGTACATAGCTTAAAAGCGCATCGCACAACCATTTTCTTTAAATGACTCAGTTTTCTGTTGATCAGGTTGGTCAGACCATATTGATGAATACTCCAGCGAAGAATCAAAAAGTGTTACTTTCCAAGACCAGTCCAAATCACCATCATCTCAAGCCTTCCCCAAGGCAGAGCGGATCATACAGTCAATAAAACTAGACAGGTTAGAATATGCAAAATTATTGCTTTTATCAAGAGTCAGTCTCGATAAATGTTTGATATAAAAAGAACTCATGAAATAAATAGGTAATCGGTAATGTTGATAAAACCGCTCTTAGTCTTATCATAGTGATATTTTTAACATCACTGTACATTTTTAGACAAAAGCTTAAGGCAAAGCTTGTGAGATCAGTGCAGGATTCAAAAACGTTACACGCCCAGCTTCGTGACACCCAAGAAGCTTTGGAGAGGGAAAGTGCAGGTAAATTTATAGAGATGAAATTACATTGTTTATATTTACTGTTAATAAATCAATAGAACTTTGATGTGATCACTAGACCACTAGGTTATGATCATTTACAAAGAAAATGGCGAAAAGAAGATTGCGAAGCATGCGTACAGGTACCATCTTCAGTGACAATTATAGATATCGGTGAGTGACCATTGTTCATTGTTCAGGACTTGCTAAAAGAGTTAGAGAAGCTCTGACGAAGCTTGAGGAGAGTGAAGTCAAAAGTCACGTTCTGGAAAGAACTGCAAAGAACTTGTCCATTCAGGTAAAAATATAATTCGGGTATATTGCATTATGTTGAATTCAATTCATGCTTAATTCATTTTAGGTAATGATCCTTGCACTCTAAGTTTATTTTTAACGATCTCATCTGAATATGCAACTTATTTACATTTCAATTTATTTTAAACAACAATTACCTATATTGCAGGTGGAGGAATTGAACGTGGTGAACAAAAGCTTGGAGCTAGAAAATTACCACCTTAAGAAGCTTAATGAGACTTAGAAATCTGCTTAAAGCCCCCACAACTTACAAAATTTACGCGTACAGTTACTTGATTAGATTTCTGGGATGACTAAATTTGCAAAAGATAAACAATCAAACGACGAAAAATGGTAAATTGAGATCAAAAGACATGCACTGTGCGAACATGAAAAAAGCCAAACCTTATTCGAAGTTGAAATTTATTTCTTGGATATATTTTTAATTAGCATGCTGAACTAAATACTTCAATATTAAATTAGCACTAAATAACAAGAAGAACGTTGCACTTTCAATTATAATTTTTGTTTTTAGTTTCTTGACATATCTGGTTCTTGTTAAGGTTTGGTGTATTGATAGTTTGTATCATGTTCTATGTTTTATTGAATACCCCAAATGCTTATTTCTATGCATTATTTTACTGCAAAACATATTGCTGTTTTGATTGTACTATCGATGATTAAGATTTAAGACCACTTAATATTTTATACAACATGATTAGTAATTAATTCTATCGACATTTTAAACGAATGACTTACTAATTTTAGCATGGATCACATTTCAGGTTATGCCTTGTAAGTCAATAAGACAACCCGCGGGAATTTTAATGAAAATGAAGCCTTGCCATTATAGACGTTAATGGTGATTAAGCACCCTTCAAATCACTCACTCATGTAGCTATTAGTAATCCATCCGCCTTGAACTTATGTAGCATCAATAAGACTTCTTAGTCATCTAATTTTAACCGAAATTCTGTCTAGCCAGGCTTCAGTGCCGGTTATACTTTATTAAAGATAACTATATTTGACCAGAACAACCACATAATAAGGGTAGAGTGTACCGCAGCCAGTGGTCTCTCTTTTCCAAACAAAAGGAAATGATATTAATGTTGATGAAATTCCGCATAATGCAAATAGATACCGAGAATAAATCGGTCGCTCGCTTTTTTCAAATCAATAAGAAGCTTTATTTACAATTTCCGTAAGGCCGTGCTCGAATGGAAAAAGCGAGCGACCGATTTCATTCTCGTATCAATTTGCATAGCGACTGTTCCTCAAATTAATATCATTTCCATTTGTTTGGAAAAGAAGCCACTGGCAGCGGTACACTCTACCCTGATTATGGGATTTATGGTCAAATATCAAATCTCTTTTTTTGATTATAATGACAGATAATATTACACAGCTAGCCGAAAACTTCATTTACAAGGATGTAATTATCGACGATTTCGAAATTCTGCCTTTGAAAAACGTTTCCATGTGTTTTAGGTGTAGGTATTTCTGTCGAATAACCGACTGAATTATGGCACTTTTTACTCATTCAAGTGTGGCATTAAATTCATTTTAATGCCATTTAAACATATCGTGGAAAGCAGAATATATTTCGAAATCACGAAATGAAGAGCCAAATTGTCACCTTTCGCACTGCAAACTTGAGCGACGTCGCCTGCGCAAACAATATTGAATCACCGTAAATTTTTGGCATAGTGGTATTTTAATTATAAGTATGATAAGCATGGCAAAGTTGCAGAAGATTTCAAAAAGAACCTGGATCACAGCGGGACTCCACAGTTGATAAAAATCGTGAAGAATACAAAAATTTTTAGCGATTATAAGCGAATTTTAAAATGAAGTTGGAGCGTGTCCGTTGCCACGTGTGCAACTTTTTTCGATTTTTATCTTTAAAACTAGCCTATAACACAATGTTAAACCACCTTTTAAGAATCAAAATTGAGCTCCACAAACCCAAGGTATGGCCCAACACCAGAGAATACTAATTTCACAACTTTTGTGTATTTTATAAAATTATTCTTCAAAAAAGCACTAACTTCAATAGCGAAATGACATTATGAAGAGCCAGGGTAGGAAACTATTCCGTTAGATTTTTCGGAATGCTTGAACAATTATCTAAGATGAAAATGTCCTCAAAGAATTTTGGAATAAAATACTACTGCCCTTAATAGTGTATAATCGATTAAAAAAGTTGTTACTGTACTTTTGCAAAAGTCAAGTTTAAAAACACTTAACTTGATGACGTTCGACAAGTGATGATGATACGTTAAATTATTTTTCTATACAATGTAACTAAACTTAAACAATTATCTTTAAAAACCTTGTGGTTCGAAATGACTGTATCGATAAAATACTTTGAAATCTACGGAACTAAATGTAGGCTACAATTGACTGCAAAAAGCGTCTATACATACATATATATCTTCACGACAATCTGTTGTAAAACAGGGGTTCCCAGAAAACCCACTTCCCCGAAACTCCTGAAACATGAATACATCTTTTTTTTACAGTCGATTTGGACAGGTCTAGACGGCCCCAGCTGCCAAGTTTCGATCTTTAACTCATTTTTAACATGGTTTTTTAAGGCACCTGAATATGCGATTTGGTTTTTTTACCTCATTTCGTATAACATGCTGGCGCGTATTTTAGCGCAAATTTCTTAAAAACCCTCCATACAACTATTCTTAGTCCCTGTCTTCTTCAACATTGAATTAGAATGATTTGAACTTAAATGGACCTGCTGAACTACTTTCGGATGAGTCTTAATGCCTGGAAAAAACCATAAAGGGATATAACGTATAGGGGGTAAATAGTGTTGTAATAAAAGGGCGACGAACCCACAAAAAATCTGCCAGCTAGCGCAGTTTTAGTCCAGGCTAAATAGGGTTGTCTTTCTTAGGCTACGCTAAAATAGGGTTTGGCGCGCGCGTAGCCAGGCTAAATATCTGTCCTTAAGAATCCAGGATAAATAGGCCATCCTTTATTTTATGACGTTAAACTCGACTCCGCCTTAAAAATGACAGTTGGATGCACGTAGCGCCGCGCTTACTTTGTCTTTAATATGGTAAATTCATTCCTCGGTATATAAAATTGGTATCCCTGCTACATAAATCCGAGAAATTTTTTGTAATAAAAAATAAAGGGGGGACCCCCAACCCATGTAGCTGAGACAACCTGACAGCAGTAGACCGTAGTTATATAGGAGTGGGTCCCTGCTTCTGAACGGAGCATCAAACTACCCGCCGCAGGCGGTGGGTTGGGAGTCCCCCCTGATCAATTTCGTCCGTCAATACATTAAAATGGCACAGTAAAATAGCTCCGAGAATTTTGTGAAAGTTTGACAGAACTTTGAGGTCTATCCGATGTTTTGAAGGGCTATTAATTGTTAATTTTTAATCATACACTACTGTGTTGGATTTGCTTCTGGATAGATAGGTGGCATATGTGGGACATTATTTCGCATCCAGTTTGTGAAATATTTCCCGCAAATAATGAACATTGTTTCCTAATACCCAGGACTGAGCTGACATCGATTAATATGGATAAAAATTGCTATTGGGTTATGGAGCCAAGTAGTTCAGATCCTGGAAACATTTGCACTTCGGAAGTGCTGACAAGTTAGTATACCACATGGGCTCCCTACCCAAGTCACCCAGACATGACTACGTGACTGTCAATCTGGCTTGTGGGCCAGTCGCCGACAAATGGACCTCGATTTACAAAAAACCGGACAGCATGAATACTTTCCGGGTTGTAAATCATTACAATCCACTTTCCAATTTGTTCCTAAACCTCGGAACCTTAAAACACAATTAAAATTCATTGAGGGCATATTCAACCAAACCATGATAATAATACGGACATTCCAAAGAGGCCCCCGCACTATGCTTTAAATTAAGTTCTGTAGACAATATGAACATACGATATTTTGTTGGGGGAAGTCGTTGGTTGGGCTGTGATTGTATCTGCATAGCAGATATTTGAATTGACTAGAATTTCCACATGTAGCATCCGGAAAAGTCATAGGCCGCACAGTGCCTGGTATGATGCCGCCAACCTAGTAAGCCCCCGAGTTTACAGGCAAGGTGCTTTACCAATTGACTAGTCAGCCCTTAATAAAACCAGACAGCCTAAATTCCGGTTTTAAACTACGTATTTTGTAAGTACATTCTAGTTTCTTCTTAAAAACTCTCACTTTTCTTCATTGAGTTAAAATAACAATCAAGATGTAGAAATACGTTTGAGGGCATTTCAAGCCAAATCCGATGATAACAATAGCGAACCACCAACTAAGGCTTTCAGTTTCTGTAATTAGAACAGGATTTTTTTATTGTATACAAACCAATCCAAGATAAAATACCGAAAGTCTGCGTCGTTAAGAAGTTTGATTTTTATTTAATGATTTTTAGTAGTTTTGATAGTCGAATGGCTTACACGATAAACGCTTTTCTATTTCCAAAGTGAACCATATATATAAAGAAGTATTACACGTATTAGTTTCGAATCTAAAATTGGTCACAAACTTTAAAATTATACGTTCTGCAGATTTCGCCGTCTTAAACATATGCGCCTTGTAAAATTGACTGATATCATAATATCCAATAGTAACTCGTTTTTTGTTTTCACGATAAGTCCTTCAGCAATCTAAGGTATGCATAATTCCAGCTGTCGGCATGCCCGACTACTCGTTAGAGGGAAGTTCATTTTTCTCGCTGCTACTCTTTAGTACTTCGTAGCCTGGATAAAACGGTGGATTAATTATGGTTTATCTCTTTCTTTGTTTTTAGTCATTCCATGATTGTTTAATATATCATAAAGTGACCAAGGTGGATATTGAGGTTGACCCATGCGACCAATAAATATAAGGGGCAAGATAAGCAAAATGAAGTAAGATTAAACAAACCAGGGTGATTTCGCTTCCTTGCAGTGCGAATTTATCTTGTCCGACAACAGCGGGCGGTTTTTCGTGTCAAATTGACCAAATTTGTGAACCTGAGGAAGAGAATTCGGGTTACACATTTAGACTTTTATAATGAAGGTACGGCAATTTATTAAGAAACTATAGTAACCCGCGGAATTCACTGCCGTAAGTTACAAAGGGTATGGGAGTAAGTAAACAAACAGTCCGCAATGAGTAAAAGTAAATCATTAAAGTATTTAACTGCACGTTTATTGAATAAATAAAGATGAATACATATTTTATACAGTGTAATTTATTCATGTGTCTGAAGTGGAACTTCTAAGGAAATGACAAATTGATATGAAAGTCTGGATCTTTGCTGACAACCATTTCTCTCTTGTAGTAAATTTTTTAAAAACCGGAAAGTATATAAATGGGGGGGGTTAAGCCAAAGGGTATTTAGGGTACTATATTATGGGGGATTTCCAAAATCCACGTAAGGCATTTCCCCAAAATACTTCCAAAATTACTAAAATACCACCTGGTGCCTAGTACGATTTTTTACTGTTTAACAGATGCAATTCTATGGCGTTAGATACACTATATATAGAGAATAGGCATAATATT